GAGAGAGAGAGAGAAGGATGGAAGGAAAGGAGCTCGCATTCAAATGTGACGGGTCATTTTGGGTTAACCTAGGGCTAGTTCTACCGGTACGAACCGATGCACTCATCTGCATGTCTTTTCGAAGGGGACTGCGAATAAAGGACATGCCCCACACTTTCTACTCGTACAGCCCAACGGGTCTCAAGCCGGGTCCCAGAAAATTCAAGGGCCCGATCCCCAATTCGGGAATCATCGCACCCCCGGGCGAATAAAGACCTACCTGATATAGCCCCTTCGTGAGGGGATGGGTAAGCGGTTTTTCCACCTCTAATCGGATACCCTGCATCCAGCTGGAGAGATTAGCCGTGCAAAAAAGAAAGTGCAAAATTTTGGAGGGAATGAAACAAGTACCGGTACCGTATTGTACCGTACCGGTACTTGCACCGGTTCCCAGATATTCGTAATGTGGGATACGGCACTACCGTTGGAAAAATCGGCCTGATGTTTCGCCAGAGGTGTGCGCAACTTACAGTAGACTACCGGTATGTAGAGCTTTGAGGCCGTTCACCATCATCTCGGCCTTTCACGGAGGACCCACCTTTAGGCACGTTGCACCGTGCTCGAGGGTGACACCCCATCAGTCAGGGTTCATAAGCCCATTCGGAACTCCGAGATCCGGTTAACCCCGAGATACCCTGTTTGTTCGCTTCGCTGCCAAAGGGAAGGGGAAAAAGGGGATGTAGCTAGTATCTTGGTCGACTACCGTACCGCACTGCAATGCTCGAGTGCTCGCACTTGGAAGAAAATTCCCACCCTCGCGCCCTTGGGTGATGAGGTAATGGATCTCGACCACCCATCCCCTGGGTTGAGGTTGGAAAGGCAGCGTGCTAAACTTGGCGTGGAAGACGCTGCTCCTCCGCTGCGCAAGTACTCGTACTTGTACCGTTTGTCTTGTGCGTTCCCAGGATCTTTGGGGTTAATCAGCAGCTATCGGTTACAGACCCCTTGGATCCCACGATTATGTGTCGTGACAGCCCTCTTGAGCGGCACTTTCTCCTTGTTGCCTATTTTTGTGTTGATAGGCAAGCAGACAGATGTTTCGAGCACGACCGCTGGGGCGTGGCCGACAGCAGGGGAAACCACTAGAGAGAGGTTCGATGCGAGAGATTGTCGAGAGCGAGAGGGGAGCGGGCGAAGAGGCGAAAATCTGCGCACCAGCTCATTTACCTGGGCGTGCTGCGCCTCACAGTAGTGGGTGAGCTATATGGGACATGCATTTAACAGATAGGCAAGTCAAAGCCACAAGAGTCGTCGAATCCAGTCAGTTCAGTCCGGTTCCCCGATTCAATGCCCGCAAAGGCCAGGCTCTCGCGAGGGGAAGCAAAAAGTGCTAGAATGTAAAGTAGAATGGGGGCTAGCGGTGGATGAAACTTACGACGGGAATCACGACCCGGCCCTCTTTGTAACTCGATCCCCCCATTGGCAGGGTGATGGGTGGAACGGGGGAGAAGTAACATAACCGGAGTCACAGCCAGCCCATAGGTCAAGTCAATCTATCGGTCACCCATCCCACCAACCAACCCACCCAAACCGCATCGCCAACGCTCGCTAACGAACACGGTCGATCCCTCAAACAAGCCTTTTTGACCCCTTCCCACCCCTTCCTCCCACGCGAGCGAGCATAAT